CCTGTAATCCCAGCACTTTGGGAGGCCGAGGTGGATGGATCACCTGAGGTCAGGAGTTCGAGACCAGCCTGGCCAACATGGTGAAACCCCATCTCTACTAAAAATGCAAAAATTAGCTGGGCATGCTGGCAGTCTCCTATAATCCCAGCTACTCGGGAGGCTGAGGCAGAAGAATCGCTTGAACCTGGGAGGCGGATGTTGCAGTGAGCCGAGATCGTGGCACTTGCACTCCAGGCTGGGCAATAAGAGTGAGTCTCTGTCTAAAAAAAAGAAAAGAAGGATATTGAAGCCCTGTGCAGCACTGTCAACCACCTTGACCTAGTTGACATTTAAAAAAATTCCTTATTTTTTTGACACAGCATCTCGTTCTGTCACCCAGGCTGGAGTGCAGCGATGTGATCACACCTCACTGCCTCAGCCTCTTGTGCTCAGGTGATCCTCCCGCCTCAGCATCCCAGATAGCTGGGACTATAGGCACATACCACTATGCCTCACCAATGTTTTGTATTGTTTGCCATGTTTCCCAGGCTGATCTCGAACTGCTGGGCTCTAGTGATCCTCCTGCCTCAGCCTCCCAAAGTGCTGGGACTAAAGGCGTGAGCCACTGCACCCAGTCCTAGTCAACATTTATAGAACATGTTACCCACCTACAGAATATACGCTCTTCTCAAATACACGTGGAGCACTCACCAGGCTAAACCATATGCTAGGCCATACAGTAAGTCTCAATAAATTTCAAAGAAACGAAATCATACAGAGAAGTTCTCTGACCACAATGGAATTAAATTAGAAATAAAGAGCAAAAAGATGACCTGCAACTTTTTGAGATGGAGTCTCTCCCTGTCGCCTAGGCTGGCGTGCAAAGGCGCCATCTCGGCTCACTGCAACCTCCGCCTCCCGGGTTTAAACGATCCTCCTGCCTCAGCATCCCAAGTAGCTGGGATTACAGGCGCCCGCCACCACACCCAGCTAAGTTTGTGTATTTTTAGTAGAGACAGGGTTTCACCATGTTGGCTAGGCTGGTCTCAAACTCCTGACCTCATGTGACCCACCCACCTCGGCCTCCCAAAGTGCTGGGATTACAGGCGTGAGCCTCCACGCCTGGCCATAAACAACGTACTTCATTGTAAGTAAGTTGTAAGTAAGTCATTGATTAAAGAAGAAATCATGAGGGAAATTAGCCAACATTATGAGAAAATAGAATATATCCAAATGTACAGAATGAAGCTCGAGCTGTGCTTAAAGGAAAATTTACAGCTTTAGAAAAGAAGAAAGGCTCACACCTGTAATCCCAGCATTTCGGGAGGCTGAGACGGGCGGATCACGATGTCAGGAGTTCCAGACCAGCCTGGCCAACGTAGTGAAGCCCTGTCTCTGCTAAAACTATAAAAATTAGCCGGGTATGGTGGCATGTGGAGGCTGAGGCAGGAGAACTGCTTGAACCCAGGAGGTGGAGGTTGCAGTGAGCCGAGATCATGCCATTGCAACCGAGCGAGACTTTGTCTCAAAAGAAAAAAAAAGAGAAATGAAGAAAGGCTTAAAAAATAAATGATTTAAAGTTATGCCTTAGGAAGCTGGAAAACGACAAGCAGGTTAAACCCAAAATAAGCAAAAGATGAGAAACAACAAAAAGTCAACAAAATGGAAAATAAACCAATAACAGGGAAAAATCAATAAAAGCAAAAATTGGTCCTTTGAAATTAGCAATAAAAATTGATAAGCCTCTAGGCTGATCAAGAAAACAAAGGGCCGGTGTGGTGGCTCACTCTTGTAATCCCTGCACTTTGGGAGGCTGACGTCAGTGGATCACCTGAGGTCAAGAGTGCAGTACGAGCCTGGCCAACATGATGAAACCCCATCTCTACTAAAATACAAAAAAAAATTACCTGGGCGTGGTGGCAGGTCCTGTTATCCCAGCTACTAGAGAGGTTGAGGCAGGAGGATCACCTAAACCTGGGAGGTGGAGGTTGCAGTGAGCTGAGGGGTCACATCATTGCACTGCAGCCTGGGCAACAAGAATGAAACTCCATCTCACAAAAATAGTGAATTTAAACAAAGTCACAGAATATAAGGTCTATACACAAAACGCTACTGCTTATTTATGTATATATTTATTTATATATAGGCAGGACCTCCCTCTGTTGCCCAGGCTGGAGTGCAGTGGTGGAATCATGGCTCACTGCAGCCTCAACCTCCTGGGCTCCATCGATCCTCCCACCTGAGCCTCCTGAGTAGCCTGGAACTACACGTGTGCACCATGCCTGGCTAATTTTTGTACTTTTTGTAGAGACAGGGTTTTGCCATGTTGCCCAGGCTGGTCTCAAACTCCTGGGCTCAAGTGATCTGCCCACCTCAGCTTCCCAAAGAGCTAGGATTATAGGCGTGAGCCACCACACCCAGCATCAATTCCATTTCTGTATAATATCATGATGAATTAGAAAATTAAAGGTACAGTTTTACGGTCGTTGTTTTTATGGCCAAAAAAAGAAAGAAAATCAAAGATACCATTTAGAATAGCATAAAAAGCATGAACTATCCATCAGGAGAAACCTGCCACAGTAAGCACCGGGTAGCAAAACTGGATCCGTCACCAGTCTGGGTGCGGCCAGCCTGGAGTAGAAAGGCCCTAGTGGAGACTGGCTGGACACTCGGGAACCCTGCAGTGCAAAGCATTGGGAAAGCTCAAGGCTTTCGGTGCAACAAAGTCCACAAGCAGAGCCCGAGATTGCAACAGACGTTTTTTATTACTCAAGGACAGCTTGGACTTCGCCAATGCCCAGCTTCATGCGGCACGTAGTGTGACTCACGGCTGAACACGATCACTGTTAAGCCTGTGCTACAGCCCTGCGCTACATTTGGACGTGCAAGAGGACACTCGGTGACAGGAAACCTAACTTGCTTCTAAAGACGTGACACATTTTTTTTTCCCTGAAATCTTTCCCTTCCCTCTCTGCCATGCTCCCAACTTTCTGCCTTCTTGGGGCTTCTCACTGTCTGGGTAACTAGGTCTTGGGCCTTTGGGTAGTGGCCCTGAGCCACAATCAGTGCCTGGGCCTGAGGCAGAGCTTGTGGCCTCCAAAGCCTGACCTGGCTTGGAGCTCATCTGTGCTGCTCAGGGGTGGCCTAGCTTGCAGGCCATCACATTAGGCCAGCTCACAGGTCCCCGGTAGAGCCTGAAGCCACTGGCCCCAAGTAGGGGTGAGTGCTGCTCGGCTCTCTGGAGGATCTCAGAATTCTCACTTCTCCCTGGGACTGAGCCACAGGTCAGCCACACTTCACTTTTCCCAGTGTTTTTGTTTTTGAAACGGTCTTGCTCTTTCACCCAGGCTGGAGTACAGTGATGCAATCATGACTCGCTGCAGCCTCTACCTCCCAAGGATAAATGATCCTCCCACTTTAGCCTCCCCAGTAGCTGGGACCACAGGCATGCGCTACCATGCCAGGCTAATTGTTTAAAAATTTTTTTTGTTGCGACAGGGTCTCATCATGTTAGCCTGGCTGGTCTTGACCTATTGGGCTCAAGCAATCCTCCTGCCTTGGCCTCCCAAAGTGCTAGGATTACAGGCGTGAGCCACCGCACCCGGCTGCACTTTTCCAAACTGTAAGCAGTAGGAGGGCCCTAGGCCTCATCAGCTCTGCTGTGCAGGGTGGCCACTGCCGCAGGCTTTCAGCGAAGTCCAAAGAGATGGGCAAAGCGCTGCTGCCGGAGGGCTGGGCTGCAGATGCCCTGCCTGGCTCTCGGGAGCCAGCTCCCTGCTCCATGCCCCTGTGCAGCAGCCCCTCTCCTCCCCTTGTGGGTCTGCACCACCCTCCACTGGGTGATGCCAGCCTTCCTTGCCCCCAGATGGTGGTGTAGAAGCAGGGTTCCACTCTGCCTGCCTGTGCCCACTGACCCTAGAACAGCAGGGCCCCCGCCCCCACTGCCTGCAGAGTGCTGAGGACTTGCGCACCATGAGAACTTCTGACCATGAGAACTTTGACTTCCGGATGTGGGGAATCTGCCCAGGTGAATAATTCAGCTCTGAAATTCATCACTTTCTTCGGGCCCCTGCCTGTCCTGGTCCAGGCCCAAGCCTATAGAAGGAAGAGGAAAGTCTGCTTAGCAAGTGGGGGAAGACTCCCCCATGCCAGAAACCCTGACTCAAGGGCTGGGCCAATGCTCCCTTATCTCCCGGAGCACTCATGGGAATTGAGGTTTTTTTTTTTTTTGAGACAGGGTCTGGCTCTGCCTCCCAGGCTGGAGTGCAGTGGCTTGATCACAGCTCACGATTGCCGTGATCCTCCCAGCTTGGCCTCTGAAAGTGTTGGTATTACAGGCATGAGCCACTTCACCCAGCTGAGGGTTCTTAAGCAGTGGCTCTTCAAATAGTACCTGGGATGGAAAATTCCTGCTGGGGCTTCCTATTTCCTGAAAGCAGAGTGGGGCAGGCACCCTCGGGCTAAGGGAGGTACTCTTGTCAGAAGGCGAGGGAGGGGTGGGCCAGGGTCTTGCTAAGGGAGCCATGGGGGGCAGGCTGGGCTTCCAGAGATCTCCAGAGGCAGTGGCCTGCCTGGCTGCCCCACACCCTCAGTGCAGTAGGGACAGACTCTGTTCTTTGGAGCTGGCACAGATGTGCCTGAGACCCCCCAGAGGCCAGCCCAGGCAGCAGCACCTGGGAAGGAGCTGGATGACAGCAGCTGCAGGCTGTCTAGGGCCCCGTCCTCGTACAGGGCCAGCTTCTGGACCATCTTCTGTCGGGCAGGGTTGATGATAATCTGCGGTGGCTCTGATGACGACGACGCAGAGCAGCCCAGGGCCAGTCCTGTGGTGGAGATAGCGCCCCCTTAGCCTCACACCTCCCCAGCCCCCAGCCTAGCGCCCTGCCTCCCTGGCCTGAGGCCCGAATTCCTCAGAGAAGTCCCAGGGCAGGGCCCAGCTCTCAGGCTACCCTGGACAGAGCCCGCCTTGTTCCTGGCCTTCAGGAATGGGTCAGGGGAGGGCTGAAGAGTGAGCTCCATCTGTGGATGACATGGCCGGGGGAGGGGAAACCAGGCTTGCTAAGGACACAGTGGGCTGAACACCCGGCCCTGGTTCTCTTCTTCTAGAAGGCTGGGGTGGGAACTACAGGGACTTTGGCCCAAGGAGGCCCAGGTCTCTCTCCTGGGAACCCGTCTCCCCAGCTACCTTCCGTGGCTGCAGTTTGGAACACTGGGCCACTTCCCCAGCTCAATTCTCCTGCCGTGTCCCCCTGAGGACAGCCGGCCTCCCCGAGGGGTGCCGGGCCCAAAGGGCAGCTCGGAGTCAAGTGCCAGGAACGCAGGGTGGCAGAGAGGCCACATAGGCTCTCGTCGCTCTCCACGGGCTGGTTGGGGCCTCTCTGGAGCTGCTCTGCTGCCCGGGCGCTGGCTCCTGATGGTGCTGCCAGGGGCTGCAATGGGGCAGCCCCACTGTGGGCACTGCCAGTGCTGGACACGTAGGAGTTCTCCTGCGGGGAAGGGAGGACGCAGCTGGCAGCCTCTGGTTGCCCGGGCAGCCCTGCCACTGCTGCCTGCAGCTTCTCCAGCCTCTCATACACCTGCAAGTGGAGAACAGACCGTCTGTGACCTGCCCCGGGGCTCTGGACCGGCACACCCTGCAGTGGGGAACACTCTGCCCCTAAGCCCTCTGTTCCTGTCACAGGGAGTGCTGAGAAGCGCAGCTGCCCAAGGCAAAGACTAAGAAGGCCTCCTTCTCTTCTACAGAGTGAATCACTGCCCCGCTGCCCTCAAATGGGGCCTTCTCCACTTCCAACTGTCACCAGAGGAGAAGAGGTAGGGTACTAGGGAGGGGACAGAAAAAGGTAGAGGCAGTGGCACAGTGTACCCAGCAGGGGGCGCAGAAGAAGCTCTTTCCTTCTCTATGTGAAGTGAGGTCAGAGCTGGGTTCAGCAAAGCAGGACTGCCCCAGCCCCTCAGTTCAGGGGGGCACCACCCCAAGCAGAACCAAAGGGCAAGCAAGAAATGTGTGGAGACTCCAGAGAGAGACCTAGCAGGTGCTGAGATGGGGTCACTACAGAGCAGGCCTGGAATGCAGGCTTTCGGGCTGGCCAAGCCGTCCAGTGGGCAGCTGGCTACCTGGGTCATAGGAGGCCTCCTCTTGGCCCGGCGGTGCAGGCAGTAGCACGCCAGCTGGCCCAGGTCCAGGCCCAGCTCAGGTGGGCAGGGCCCCGGCCTGGGGTCCAGGTGCTTCTTGTAAATCTGGATAGCGATGGGCGTGGCCCAAGCGTCCGCAGCCTGGGCTGCTTGCAGTGCGGTCTGGCTGCTTCTCAGGGCCACTCCAGCTTCCTCGGCCTCCTCTTCCACAAGATCCTTCTGTGGGATAGATACTGTGAGCATGGCTACCAGGTGGGCACACCTGTAGCTGCCGTCCTCAGGTCCTTGTCACTCAATCGTACTTTTTTTTTTTTTTTAATAAAAAAAGAGAGATGGGGGTCTCGCTATGTTGGCCTAGCTGGTCTCCAACCAGGCTCAAGTGATCCTCACGCCTCAGCCTCCCAAAGTGCCAGGATTACAGGTGTGAGCTGCTGTGCCCAGCTCTTGATCTTTCTACAACTTATTTTTTTGAGACAGGGACTCATTCTGTCACCCAGGCTGGAGTACAGTGGTGCAATCATGGCTCACTGCAGACTCAACCTCCCAGGCTCAAGTGATCCTCCTGCCTCAGACTGTTGAGTAGCTGGGACTACAGGCATGCACCACTGTGCCCAGCTTCCAGGGACTTTTTTTTTTTTTTTTTTGAGACGGAGTCTCACTCTGACACCCAGGCTGGAGTGCAGTGGCGTGATCTCGGCTCATCACAACCTCGACCCTTCTGTATTCAAGCGATTCTCCTGCCTCAGCCTCCCAAGTAGCTGGGACTACAGGTGCGTGCCACCACGCCCGGCTTAGTTTTTAGAGATTTGTTAAATGCCCACTGTGGGCCAGGGCTCTTCTGGGCTCTAGGGATACAGGAACAAATGAAACCCTGGGCTCCGGTTTGACAGAGCTGACTTTCTGGTGGGGTAGAGGCCTGAGGAAGTCCACCCAGGGGTGGACGCAGGACTGGAGGCCGTCGTGAGTTCTGAGATAAGACAGACTAGGAGGGACCTGGGTGGGAAGTGGCTCTTCTTGCAGAGGGAACGGCACATGCTAACCCCGTGGAGCAGGCCGGCAGGGAGTGCCCCGAGTTCAGGGGACCTGAGGTGTTGTGGGGTCAACCACATAAGGATTGGGCCTTTACCCCAAGAACAGAGAAAAGGCAAAGAGGCCTTTGAAAAGAGCAGTCTAGGCACTTTGGGAGGCCGACGTGGGCAGATCACCTGAGGTCAGGAGTTCAAGAGCAGCCTGGCCAACATGGTGAAACCCCATCCCTACCAAAAATACAACAAATCAGCTGGGCATGGTGGCAGGCGCCTGTAATCCCAGCTACTTGGGAGGCTGAGGCAGGAGAATCGCCTGGACCTGGGAGGCAGAGGTTGCAGTGAGTCGAGATTGCACCACTGCACTCCAGCCTGGGGGACAAGAGCAAAACTCCATGTCAAAAAAAGAAAAAAAGAAAGAAAAGAAAGAAAAGAACACTCTGGCTGCAGGGTGGGGAGCAAGTGGGGAAGTCCAAGGACCCCCAAGGAGCCCGGTCCGCTTCTTCAGCAAGATGCATGGATGACTCGGAGGGGAAGGAAGGAGGACTCCAGCCTGGCTCCTGGGTTCTCAGCGGGGCTGAATCCCAACACAGACCCCACAGCGCACAGGAACAGTCCCAAACAGGAGGAGAAGCGGTGAAGCAATTACTGGCTGAGCACATTCTGTGAAGTCTGTTTGCGTCTGGGAAAACAGGCCCAGAGGGGAGGAGGAATTTGCTCAAAGGCACTGTCAAGCCGGGGCTAAAACCTAGGTCTCAGTCTCCTGGCCCCACCACAGTCCATGGTGAGGCGGACGGAGTAGAGGAGGGGACGGGCAGTTCAGGCCAGCCTGCACGCACTGAGAGCGCGACTGCAGCCTGCGGGGCCTGGGAGGCTGTTCAGGGCCTGCCCCTTCTCTACCACTGCCTTTCTCCGGCCTGAGTGCTCTGAGTTCCCGGCAGCCCTGGTCCCTGTGCCCTGGGGCCACCCCCCCCACCCCCAGCCCAGGTGAGGTCTGTACAAGGCCCATGGCATCTGCAGGACAGACTGGTAAAGGAAGCTGTTTGGGGCCCTACCCACTTAAAAAAATGAGGCCACTTCAGCAGCAGAGGCATCCCCTGGGTACTACGCTCTGATCACCCCCACCCCGGGGGCTGTGCCTCCCACCTGGCCTGCCTCAGGAGGCTCACCAGATACTTGGTCCTGGCCCCCTGTGTCTTCACAGCTCTCTGGCCAGCCAGGGTCTCTAGCACTACCTGGAGAGAGGGAAGAAGGAGGGCATGGCAGTGGCTTCTGGGATCTTGTCGCCCCGTGCCTGGGCAGGGAAGAGGCCTCTGGTGTGGACATGGATGGGGCTGACAGAGTTCGGCCCTGACACGGGCAGATGAGGACAGAGCCAGATATTACAGGACCGAAGCGCAGGCGACTTGGAGGGCCCACTCAAAGAGAAATTGCAAAGAGTTAGGTGCAGGGTGAGGCGAACCTCGGAGGGAGGGGACCTGGAGCTGCAGCCTCCTGGGGTCTTGGCAGATGGCCCCGGCCCGCAGTGTGCTCTGCAGCCCCCACCTCTGCATGCCTGCGGTTTCTCCTCCTCTAAGCCAGCAGAGGGGTCAGCAGCTCACCACCCCGAAGCTGAAGGTGTCCGTGTCCACAGACAGCCTTCCCGTCTTGATGTACTCCTCAGGTAGGTAGGCCAGGGTGCCCCGCACCGTCCGCGTCCGGGCCACCGTGCTGCTCTGGCTGGGGCTGGCCCCCGCAAAGCGGCTGAACCGGGCCAGACCAAAGTCTCCCAGCTTGGGTGTCAGCCTCTCATCCAGAAGGACGTTGGAACTTGCGGAAGGAAGAAAGTGGCGTCAGCCCAAGCCTAGCTCCTACATCTGCCCAGCTCAAGTGAGGCTGGACTCGAGGCTGCCAGCCCAGTGCATTGCCCACAGAAAGTGCTGGCACTGCCCTGAATGCTCCAGCTGCCTGGGGGCTTGGGCTCATCAGCAGGGCCCATCCTTGGCCTATTCCCACACCTGTGCCATGCCGGGGTATTTAGGTCCCAGGCTGTGCCTGACCCCCACATTGATGGGTCGGGGCTCCCCTGGCTGCAGGCCTCGCCCCTGCAGTTCTCACGGGCCCCTCCTCACCTCTTGATGTCTCCATGGATGAGGCTGGGGCTGTCCTGATGTAGAAACTGAATTGCCCGCGCTGTACCCAGAAGGATGTCCAGTCGCTGAGGCCAGGAGAGAGGCGGGCAGGCCTGGGTCTGGGGTGGCAAAGGGGGAAGGGAGGTTGTTGGCTGGCTGTTCTTGATCCCAACCATCCTTCTACCTGTCACTGTGCAGCCTGGAATGAGCCACTTTACTCTCTAGGCCTGTTTCCTCCTTCTGGAAAACAAGGAGCAAAATCTCCATGACTTGCACTTCTTAAGCACGTGCAGACTAAGCCACCCTGGCTGCTTGGCAAAGCACTCACGGCCGGGTAGTGGCTGGGGACATGTTCTTGGCATTCGAGATAGAATCTGCTGGGCTGCGGCTCCTAGGACTCGTCCCTTTGTCCCTGGGTGATCGGGAAGTCCTCGAAGGCATTCTCCCCACTCTCCCCAAACACAGCAAGCCAGAGAAGGCAAGGGGGCTCTCCCCTCTGTGTGCCCCCAGGGCCCTCCCTCAGCAGTGGGTGGTCCAGCTGACAGCCCCAGCCCTCTTGCCTCTGGGGCTTGCCGACGAGACCCTCAGGCTGCCCTGCTTGCTAACGGGAGAGGCCTGGGAAAGAGCTTTATAGAAAACAGTGGGCCTGGCCAGGCGAGGTGGCTCACACCTATAATCCCAGCACTTTGGGAGGCTGAGGCAGGTGTACTACCTGAGGTCAGGAGTTGAAGACCAGCCTGGCCAACATGGCAAAACCCTCCCTCTACTAAAAGTACAAAAATTAGCCAGGCATGGTGGTGCCTGTAGTCTCGGCTACTCGGGAGACTGAGGCAGGAGGATTGCTTGAACCCGGGAGGCGGAGGTTGTGGTGAGCTGAGATCGTGCCACTGCTCTCCAACCTGGGCGACAGATTGAGGCTCTGTCTCCAAAGAAAGAGAAAAAGTGACCCTGCTGTGGGCCAACTCCTGAGCCGGGTGCTGCTGGGGAGCTGGAAGTGCAGGCCCGGCCTGCTGACAGGACCCACTCACACAGGCAAAAAGCCCCAGGCCCCATGCCTGGCTCCAGCCAGGTGTCAGGACTGCTTCAGGTCCTGGGAAGCGCACCGGGCCCAGGAAGCCGACCTGGCAGTGGAGACGGTCCTCCAGGGAGCCGTTGGGCAGGAAGCCGTACACAAGGCAGTAGAAGCCATTCTCAGCACAGTAGCCGGCAAAGTCCACAATGTTCGGGTGACGAAACCTGTTTGAAAAAGAGGAGCATCTTCCATCAGGCCAGAGTGGGCAGGCAGCCCCGCATGGGGCCTCAGTTCGCCCGGGCCTGGCAAGCCTCAGGCACCCAAGGGAGCCCAGTGCTGTGGTATGCGGTCTGGAGCCTTACCTGGACAGCTGCTCCACCTCAGTCAGGAAGCTCTGCCTCACCGCACTCCACTCCAGGTCCGCATCCTGCAGCCCCCAGGGTGCGGTGGGGGAGGGGCAGGGAAGATGGGTAGCGTGAGGCTCTAAGCGAAGGCCTTTGGACCTCCAATGCCACCTGCCCCAGGCCCAGAACAACGGAGGGCCCAGGGACCCTGTGCTGGAATGAGGGCTGAAGGGACTGTGTTGAGGCCAGGGGAAAGGCTGGAGAAGTCAGTGAGGGTTGTCTGATGGCCTTCCAGGGTCCCTGCCAGGGTGCGACACTCACCTCCTTCAGCCTCTTCACAGCATACACTGTGTTCCTCATCACCGCCCGGTACACGCACCCAAAGCCACCCTCCCCGATCTTCAGCTCCTCTGAGAAGTCGTGGGTGCCCTGGGAAATCTCACAGAGGGGCCAGCAGAATGGAGAGGGGTGGGCTCCCCGCAGGAGGGCCACTGAGCTCTCTGGGCCTAGCTGTGGGAAGAGAGCCTGGATCACGTAGGGTCCCTCTCTCCTCCCTTCTGCCCAAGCCTGCAGGCTCTCCGCACCACAGCTGCCTCCCAGCTGACCCGGCTTGGCTGACTGGGGCTGCAGTGTGCCAAAGGCTGAGTTCCTTCCTCCTTGCCTCGAATCTTCCCTGGAGGGCAGGGTACACCTACCTTGGTAGAGGAAGAGGCTGGAGATGGCGGTGGAGGCCGCAGGGAAGCCGGGCTGTGGACCAGGCCGAGCTCAGGCCCTGAATGGGTTTGGGAACCTGGAAAAGCTTCATAAAGACACCAGTGAGAGGCAGGCAGAGACCAGCAGCAGGGTCTACAGCCGTGGCAGTCAAGGTGGGCCCTTCGGGTCCAACAACCCGGCCGTCTTACCTGGGGAGAGGAGGGTGGAGGCTGAGGATGGCAACTTCCGGGGGCTCCAGGCCTCCGCCTCCGCGGGTGCAGGGATGCTGCTGGGCCTCGGGGCAGAGGTGCTTGGGGACGGTAGCGGGGCGGGAGGGTGCCCTGCGACGCCAAGTAAGGAAAGGAAGGTTGAGGCCCGGGTGGGGGAGCCCCGTGGGAATCGCCGGTCCCCCAGCCGTGGGGTGCCCGGAGTCCCGAGCTCACAGGCTGTGATGATGTCCCGCGCGCGGAGCAGTTGCAGGTGCGTGAGGATGTGCACGAGGTCGGCCACACGGGCGTTGCGGTTGATCCAGGGCCACAGGACGCTGGCCGTGCGCTGCCCGGAGCGCTCGCACAGCCGCAGCTCGGTCTGGTCGCGCACGATCAGGGCGGCTGCGGGGCGGGGGGCGTCAGGCGTCGGCGCCAGGGGCCCGCGCACCCCCCGCTCCCCGCGGCCGCCCGCCGCCACCCACCGAACTGGCACCAGTCGGCGGGCTCCAGGGCGTCCATCACTTTGTAGAAGCGGCACATGACCCAGGGCGGCACCTCGTACAAGAAGTGCTGGGCGCCGGGGGCTGCTGGCTCTCCCGGGCCCGGCCCCCCGGCCATGGCCGCTGCCGCCGCCGGGCCGGGGCCTGTCGGGGCCTCTCAGGGCCGCGGCGGGCGCGGGCCTGGGCCGGCCGGGTCGGCGGACACTGACTCACTTCCCCTTCGAGCCGGCCTCGTGGGACGCCCGGCGGGGCGGAAGAGGCGGTGCCCGGGCCCGCCGCCATCTTGCGCGCCGCGGCCGCTCGCTCGACCACACGGGGGCGCCCCGCGCCGGAGAGGGCCCGGGTCCCAGCGCGTTCAGCGCGCGGCGATCGCCGCGAGGCCGGGCGCGCCCGGGCGGGGCTCTGGAGGACAAACGGCGGCTTCTGGCGCTGAGGACCGAGGCACTGCGGCCTACAGGGCTGTTATCAGGAGCCCTGCTCGCCCTGCGTCTAGCCCCCTGCCCACAGCAGCAGCCTGCAGCCATTCAGACCCTTTAGGTGTCCTGAAATGTGCCAACAACGCTTCCCCCCACAGCCGTGAGTGCACGCGTTGCTGCCCCGGCCCTCATTTGGCAAGGGTGAGCGCAAGCAGCTGTGGTGAAGGTTTCCTGAGCCCTCTGGCAGAGCTCCTGCCACCGCGTACCTGTCCCCTACTGGGCAACGTCCTCGAGGACCTGTCGAGAGTGCCCCCCGCCCGCCCCGGTCTCCACAAGCAGCAACGCAGACTTTACTCTTGTTTTTCCAGCTGGATGTCTCCTCCAGCGACAGTTCCTCTTGCCCTCTTGATCCTGACAGCGAAGGGGTTCCCCACCCCTAGCCTTACAAACTTAGGACTTTTCCTAGAAACGCAGTCTGCCAAAGGCCCACAGCTGGCCACTATTGGAGTCTCTTCCCAAAAGCCACCACCACGGTGGTCCCACTCAAGATGACAACCATACCCTGAACCCCGTGGCTTCTCATGGGGACAGCCTTTATGAGATGCAGCAACTCAAGTATCTGAAAAGACTACGCACAGCCATGCTAATCTCCAAAGGGGGGACTTGGTCCCACTTACACACGAAGGCCCGTCAGCTCCTGGAACAGGACTGGCGCACAAGATGCTCAATGCATGCAAGTTGAACGTTCAACTCTGGGATCTACCGTTCAAGGCCAGGCCTTCAGTACCCTCTGAAGGCACACATGTAGGTGTGCCCACATGTGCGTGTGAATCTGGACTCTGAGCAGCTGTCTCCTCCAGCCCCTTACCAACCCGGTGAGGCCGCTCCTGAGAGCCACGGAAGCCAGTGACAAGGGGGCCCCTTTGGGCAATCCCCTCAGCCTGCCCTTGCCTGGTCAGAGAACTGGGTTAGCAGTCAGTGGAGGGCATGTGAGGGTCTTGGCAGGAATGACAAGGAGGAGCTACCAACTGTGGGGCACGGGTGTCCAAAAGCACCACAGCACATCCAGACTTATGGGGTGCCCCTACCAGATGGGTCAAGAGCAGGGAGGTCATGCTGCAGGCTGACTCATGCTGGGCCTTTGCTGTCACACAATGGAGCAGTGTGCCTGGAAAGCACTGGCGTGGAGCAAGCTGAGGGGCCGAGAGGCCGCATATGAAGCAGTCGTCCCTCGGCCTCTCATGGCAGGCCTGAAGGCAGCTATCTGTGTCCAGGGACAGCCAGATCCAATGAGGAAATGCAGCACCACACTGTCATGTGAGCTGGAGGGGGACTTCTGTCTTATAATGAAAGCCCAGACCTTGAGTCACTTTCACAGAGAGATTTATCGAGAATGCTAACAGCACAGGATACAGTACTTCCCAACAAAAGGTGCAAACGCGTCACTTAGAAAGGCATGCTGAGTATTCTTTGCTTTCACATGTATTAAAAAACTTACAAAAATAAAATAAAACTGCGTGCTGCCCATCTTTTCCAATAGTAAAAGAACCTTATGAAAAAATCACTTAATTTTACAACAAAAGACACAAACGGACATTTTTATGTAAATTTATAAGGCAAACTCTTTATATAATAAATAGGTTACAGGGATTCAGTGGGGGGGTGTTTTTGAAACGTATACAGGTACATTCAGACAGGTTTACTGAAATGGTACAAATTTCCTTAATAAATTGCCTTTTGTTTTTAAATATATCAGTGCTTTCAGTCATTTGGCTATACACAAAGAACCTTTTTTTCTGAACACTACAAAAAAGCAATCAATAATTTTTGTTTTTAAAACGACCTACTTATTTTCTAAAGTAATTGTCCCAAAACACAAAAACTGAAGGTGAACAGGTAAAGGGCTTTTAGAGACAACTCCAGCTAAGTCCATCCTGGCTTCTCCCCGTGCCCCAAGTGCACCTCTCCCAACCTCAAACAGGTTTCCAGGCTGGAGCCAGCTCCCTTCCGCACAACGTGGCCTGTGTCACTGGCAATGCTGTCCACAGCTCTCGGCCTCCGGGCTGGCACAGGGGAGCATGACTTCAACTCAGGAGGGGGCAGACACCCTGCCTGGCTCTTGCAGATGCTGAACCCAGCACGCAGTGGTCACTACAGTCAGCACTGTCCCTGCCTCTCAGAGGAGGGAGGGGCTGGTCAGGTTTTTCGGGAGCCCCAAACCATGTCTAATGAGGGTAATGGCTTCTCTCAGGAGATGTTTTTGCCATGGAATGGGAAGGGGTTTCTCACATCCAAATTTCGCTGGCACTCGATGACAGCCAAGAGAGAGCAAGCCCCTCTATGGCCATTTTATTGGGGAGGGGGAGGGTGGGGAATAGAGATGTCACAGTGTTGTGCCCTGGAGGATGGGGTGGGGTGTGACAGAAGTGTCTTAAACAGTAATGCCCATGGGGCACACTTTGGAGAGAGAATGGCCGCCACCTGGCCTGTCCAGGGAGAGCTGCATCAAGGGGGAGTGGCCAAAGGCATCTGCCAACAACAGCCTCCTGCTCGGGCAGGCGCAGCCCCATTCTCCGAGCACACATCCCCTCCTGGCTCCCCTCAAGGAAACATCAATCTTATCTTTCCTTAAAAGTACGGGATGGTAGTAATAATCGTGGGGGGAGGGGAAGCAAAAAAGAATCCACTGGGTGGAACAAAACCTGGTTTTGCTGTGACTTGGAAAGTAGCAACACATCAGCTATTCAGTTTGCTGGCTTGGAATGGGACTCCCGGGCTCCACTGCTTTGGGTGGGTTCTGGCTGACCTGGGCAGGGGTCATCTGTTCGGCTTGCCCCTCTCATCTCAGTCACCATCCCCCTCCCTCAGAATGCTTTTGCTTGTAAAGAAAAAGTGTCTAGAAGTATTTGTCTCTGGAACAATTACTTTAAACATAGTTACAATACAGACTTCAGTTCAAACACGGAAGAGATTTACTTAGCAAAGTTCCTTTCACCCACCAAAAATTACACAAATATAAGCCTCAACACCACAGTTAAGAGGACCAGTAGAGAGAACCTCATGTTTGGAACACAAAAGGAGAAATAAAAACCAAACCAAACCCAAACAGAAAAACCCCAGAAAGACAAGGAAAGGGCAAAGAAGGAAGGGGAAGGAGAGCAAACACAGCACACGTTACAGTGTCCAGATACATAGGAGCCCAGCACGGGCAAGGGCTCGGCACACATTGAGTAACAGTCCTGGTGATATTTGGTCATATATTCATCGACTACTGACTCTGGAGCGGCTGTTATTGATTGAAGCAGTGACAAATCAAACGGAAAGGAGGCCGTGGTAGCAAGGGAAGGAGCAGGCTTCAAGTTCTGCAAGCCTTTTGCACTCCACTGTCCAGCTCCCCAGAAACACTGAACCGGGTGGGCCCCACTCCATCCGGGCAGGGCTAGAGGTCACTGGGTGAGGCTAACTCAGGCGTCGATTTCATGTCAGTCAGAAAGCACGTTCGTGGACGCACGCAGACACCCACCTGTTCATGGCCAAACATCAGCGACAACGGCCTCCTCTGCCCCATCCCAGGCTGGGTGGGAAAGAGCATCGTGACCCACTGCTAACACTGAGCACGCGCCGGAGCAGGACCGGGATGTGGGCCCAGAGGCTGCCCCAGCCCTGGTCCTCCGAGGGGCCTGTGGGTAGCCCGGCCACTGAAAGAGCCTACGGCTGTTGGCCTCAGAAGAAGCAATGACAGCAGGGAGGGAAGCTTTTGGCCCTGGTGATTATAATGCTCTCTGCTTTGGAAGAACAAGTTTCTGATTTTTTTGGTGTTTCTAATAACTTTAAAAAAGATGATCAAAAAGAACTGTTACAGCTAAAATCTCTAGCAGATATTGCTCATTAAGAATTACAAAAGCAAATGCAATTACTCGTAGGATTGGGGAGAAGAAAGGGACATTTCTGGAGTCTTCACTACTTCCTGGAGGGGACCCGCTGGACTCACGCATGTGATTCTGGGGTCGCTGGCCTTCTACCTGGTGCAGCTCACAGGTTCGGAGACAGGCCAGGCTTCCTGTCTCTGCTCCAGTCCCCAGGCTCGACAGAGTGGGAAGGATGAAATACACTCGGGCCCTAATGGTGGGGAAAGCCTGTGAGGCTGACTCTTCACATGGGCTCACCCTCACCAGGTCACTGGAAGGGGATTGGGGGGGTCAGGCCACCCCAGTGGACTCCAGCTCCCACAGGTGGAAGGGGACCAGGCTGTGCCGACTACGTTCCAGACTTCAGCAGGCCAAGGGAGTGCTCCTGCACCCAGAACCTTGGGACCTCTTTCACAAGCATGGGAGAAACAGGGTGCAAAACCCGGGTGCTGCCTGGAGCCTCCTTCGCCTGGCACAGGGAAGCCCTTGAAAGAAGCGAGGAAAGACCACGAATCTGCTTGGACAGAAGAAGTGACCAGCAGACAGATTTGTCATTTTTTTCTTTTTTTTTTTTTTTTTTTCCCTTGTCCTATGCTATGGTTATCAGAATATTGTAATTAAGCAACAGGTATAATTTTAACAGGTCTTTTTTTGTGTGTGGAGCCACAAGCAAAATGAGTTTATAATTGTGCAATATACAGATATATATATAAAAATTCAACTGCTTTGTGTGTCTAGTCGGTGCGTTAAATAAAAGGGACAGAAAAACTAAAAGCAAAACTAAAAAGCAAAACAAAAGCCCAGGATAGAAGAGACAAAGCAGGCCTATGAGCACAGTCTATACGTTACTGGATATAATCAGGGTCACCAGGAAGAACAGCT